TAAACAGTCGATAACAGAGGCGCAAAAACAAGACAGTCTTTGCTTAAAGATGGGTTTTCCTATTTTTTAGTGTCAAATTAAGCAAACTATTCGATTAATCAGTGTTTTTAATTAATTATCATGTATTCTTAATCATATCATTATGTTCTTATTGCATATAATAAAGAGAAATTAACCAATCATAAATGTTCATGTATGTACAGTCTGGATGAACAAAAAAGACTTTTTGGCCTTTCTTGATCGGTTATTCATTGTAATTCTGCTGGTAATTATCTTCTAATTTAGCTAATAATGAATTAATTATGGACATGTAAGACAAACTGCTATTTTTTCCAAGTCATTGGAACACATCTACGTTCTATTCATATAAATATTAGCATTTTCATTTTCATAATGAAAATAAGGGAACCATCTTAAAAGACTCCAAGGACCTACTTCGCTAAAGTTTTATGCTACGAATCGATGTGTTTCTCTAGTCTACATTATAGTGATAAAAAGTTATATGCAAACTACTTTTACATTTGGGCACAAGAGATGAAGTGGTTTATTAATACATTACTTAATTATTAACTAATCAATAAATACATTAAAGATAGCTTGCCAGGCAAGGTAACATACGCCCACTGGCAGCTGTCAGAAATGATTAAACAGTCTTTAGTGACTACAAGGTTGCACAATATAGCTAATAGAGTGAAACGCCAAGTCAGACACGATATTTCGGTGAAATATTATCCGATCATCGCGAAAATCGATAGGGATCATCTTCATAATGACATTGACATACAAAATAAAAATCAAAAGAATCTGTAAACAATTGTAGCCTGTAGAGTGAGCACGAGTTGCACAATATAGCTAATAGAGTAAAACGTCAGGTCAGACACGATATTTCGGTGAAAAATTATCCGATCATCATGAAAATCGATAGATCATCATGAAAATCAATAGGGATCATCTTCATAACGACATAGACATACAAAATAAAAATCAAAAGAATCTGTAAAAAATTGTAGCCTGTAGAGTGAGCACGAGTTGCACAATATAGCTAATAGAGTTAAACGTCAAGTCAGACACGATATTTTGGTGAAAAATTATCCGATCATCACGAAAATCAATAGGGATCATCTTCATAATGACATTGACACACAAAATAAAAATCAAAAGAATCTGTAAAAAATTGTAGCCTGTAGAGTGAGCACGAGCTGCTCAATATAGCTAATAGAGAAAAACGTCAAGTCAGACACGATATTTCGGTGAAAAATTATCCGATCATCACGAAAATCAATAGGGATCATCTTCATAACAACATTGACATACAAAATAAAAATCAAAAGAATCCATAAAGAACTGTAGCCTGTAGAGTCAAATGTGAACGGACGGACGGACCGACGGACCGACGGGGTGATTACAATATACGCCCATCTTACGTGTGGGCGTATAAAAAGTACAATATTCTACAGAAAACAATTATTGTTAATGTTAAAACCTTTGGAAAGAGAATTACAATGTTTAACATAACCATATATTTGCTTTAGTTGAAATATTTCTAAATAAAATAATATATATCACACTTGTAATACATGTTGATAATTTCAGGTTGATAAGTTTATCATCTGCATGAGACAAGCGAACCGTCTTTTCTGTTTAGGTCGGGCAGGTATCTTCTGACGTTCGGCTTATAGTCTCCTGGCTCTATTTCTATGCTTATTGATTGTCAGTATGTTGGTATTGTCAAAGTTGATTTCATGTCATTTGTTTCATACCAAATATCCCCACTTGTATATTTTCATTTGGTAATGCAGCATTCTGGATTATGACTATCATTTTAAAATATTTTACCACACAGAAGATGATATATATAACGATTTGAAAGAAACATATATATTAGATATATACCCAAAGGAATCATTAAACCCGACTCACGATTACATTTTTTGAAAATATATCTGCTTAGTTTCTGTTAGAAAAAGTAAACAATGCAAAAAAATCATGAACTTGATTTTTATGAGATACAATAGCGATTATTATACGGCATCTAACTTATCTCCATCTTCATTAGCCTGAATGGTGCAGAAAAGTAGAACGTAGAACTCCATTCATTTCATTTCCACTTCAGCACTAAATCCATTAAAAAATTTTCAAAGTTTGTTATGATGTTAAATCAAAAACACAATTGAAAATCCTTTACGAAACTTTCCAAAGTAATGTTTCACATTTTTCGCCGTTTGAATTTTCACAAGTAACTCGCGTGTAACAATTCCAAGTTGGAGGATACATAATGTTTAACTTTCACAACTAATATTTTTTTAAAAGGTAAGATGAATAATTAAGATGTCATGGGCCACATGGATTCATAGCGATCTTACTCCACCAAATAAAATACCCTTTGTACTGGTAAAATCGATCCCGGTAAAAGAATCCTGCGCTTAAACTTTTATCAAATCTATTTCAATCCAATATTTTTCTGAATGACAGCAATATTTATCGATTATTAGGTATATGAAGTAAGCATTTCTTATGTAAAGACTGTTCACAGGCTATTCGAAGCAATTCTGGTCGAAAGTTCAAGATGGAATTGACTGGAAAGGTTTATAAATGAATAAAGTTTTTTTAAGTAAAGATTTTCTGATATTGGACAAGTTAATGGAAACAGGAAACACACTATCATTAAACTGATACAAAAGGTGCAGTTTCTGAGGGTTGTCAAAACCCAATCCCCCCACCGTCTTTAATATTATTCCAGTTGTAAGATTTAATACTTTATTAGGAATTAGGAACAGAATTAGATTGACATGACCCATAAGTGACGTTTCATATAATTAAGTGACACGTCTAAAAGCTCTGAGAACGATTTCTACATTAATGATAGATGGCAATTATACCAAATCAAGATATGATTGACCACCCTTGATATTGTGGTGATATGATTTTCTTTATATAAGATCTTGATAAGAGTTGGATTTGGTAGAAAGTATCATATCGTTTTATTCATTGGTATTCAAGCATATTTTCGGGTAGCGGGGAAAGCGAAAGAGATAAATGACACCTAAAAGATGATTGACTAGCTGTTTCCACGTTAGAAAAAAGCGGCGTTCTGCTTTTACAATAAACCGAGGACTGGATAATTTTCAAATGTACAATACATGTACATATACGCCAATAATGCGTATCTGTAGAAGACAATTGATCTGGGGCGGATGGTCTCACCTTCCAGTATAACCGTGACCATAGACCTATAAAAATGTAGACATGTTGTTCGTCAACGTAGAAATCTGGGTTTACCAAGCTAGAATATTTCCTAAATTGTTCGTATCTTCAAGGGTATCATAATTAACGTCGAATGCACACCTTTTACGTCAGAAATCTCATAAATCGCATATTCTTGTCAATAAATATTCCAATTTTGAGAACAACTTGAAATTGATCAATTAGACATTACAGATATATCATACAAGAATTACTCTGCAATTAGACATATCAATATGTTTAAATGGAAGTTTAAGAGGTTTCCTCTAAACTATGACGATAATTACTAAGAACAGTAATTTCTTATTTACGGAAATAACTGTTCAAACATCTATTTATGTTCTAGTTAATTATATTATTGCCATTTTGGAAAATAAGTTAATGACATCGTAATGGCTGGAATTGGAAAATCTCCAGGACAAAATTTTGCTGCCAACCTAGTGTCAAGATCTGGGGTTAGATTCTGGCAAAATTCGGGACAGCGCTATCGATATGTGATTTTCCGATAACGGATGTGCTAGTAAGAGGGTTAGTAAAAAAGGTTCTGCTGTTTGCATCATTCCAATTTCCCGTCAGGTTCGTCTACAGAAAGGCGTTGTAATATAACAGAATAGTGCCCCCTATAAAACCGGATAAGTAAAAGGTCTAAAACCACAGTGTCTCCAATTTTCTATCATAGCACATCCCCAAACTATGTGCAAGAATTTATCCGAGCTAAAATTTTAATTGAAAATCATGTGCTTACTCAGGAAAATCGAATGCTCTTTTAAAAGTAAGATTCATTCAAATACCTAAACTAAATCATCATTTAACGTGAAATGTAGTTTACATGAAGTTTCCTTAATCACTGTTTTCGTTATTCATTAAATTCGAAGGACAAGCATATAATTTAATTGATAGGCTCGTTTCCCCATAAACCGGTAGCAATCCAATTAATTTTTATGTTCGTCATGGTTCTATTGGTTCTACAGTGTCATGATTTCGAGTGATCATCTCAATAAGGTCTTACTTCTCGATTCAATTACAACAGTGCACAGTATATGACGCATATCCCCTTTTGACCCATTGCTATAGTGAATGGTGGTAACATTTAGTAGAAGTTACACCTCATGCACACATTGCCTCTATTCTATTTACAGGACTTGTTAATCTGATAGGACAATACATAGCAAATACAGACTGACTTTTAAATGTACACCTTTCATCGCAGTAATAGTAAAGAGTAGTAAAGAATTTATTTGTATTTCTTCCGAAAAATAAAATGTGACGGCTGCTGATATTGATAGAAATCTATACGAATAACAAAAACAAATGTTACTAATATCGTACAAATAGCATGATAGAAGGAGGTTCTGCAAGTCTTTATTGCAGTGTATAGAAACTTGGCAATCCAACAAGTTGATAAAAGAGAGTCTCAGATAAGCCTATCATTGCACTTTCCCTCTCTAAAGGCAAGTATCTGAAACTATATTAATATGAAAATTTGAAATGTACTTCACTTGAATATAATGCGGTTTATAACTACTGTCTGTGTTATTTGCGTTATGAAACCCTTACAATATCAGGGTAAAAGAATTTAAATAAGATAAAGAGCTTATTGATTGTAAAGACGATCCGACAAGGAATAGCAATATGAAATTAACTTCCATGTTTAACTAGTTGTTACTTAACAATAAAAAATCGTTAACGCTTATAATTGACACTGCCAATTGATAAGTAAGTAAATATGGTTTGTTGACTATAGTAATTTAACTTACCTTTATCGGAACACAAATCAACACTACTAACAAATCAGCACAAGACAAACTTAACAAAAACACATTGGTCGTACTTCTCATACGTTTGTAGTAGGAAATTGAAAATATCACTAACGAGTTACCAACGACTCCGAGTGTCAATGTTAAAAAGTATGTAATGCTGGTAGGAATAAGTTCATCTAGAGGTATATTGTTAATGGAATCCTCATAGTCATATTCGTAATAATACTCATAATCGTCCGTAACGTTTGAAACATTTGACATGTTCGAGTGATCTAATGTTTCCATTTTATCAATTCTAAAGTTCTCTCCACAAAAAGTTCAATATTGTAAGTTGGTTCTGTTGAAGTTTATACAAATTAACTAAACATTTAGAAGAATTCCAGCAGAAAATAAATATACTTCAAACGTTTCCGCTGATCTAGTTTTAAAGATATTAGCTTTAACGGTACCGCATATTCCGTAAAGTGCCAATAGAAATAAATAAACTTCCGACCTTTCTGGTGATCTAACTTTAAATAGAGTTCAAAATCTATTTACATCATATTAGACAACATCATATAGGATAATGATGCCAAAAACTAGACGCTGAAAATTCAATCAACCAAAAGCTCTTGATCGACTCAAACAAACGTTTGTTTAACTGTAAATGTAAGTCTAATGAAAATCAACTGGCAAGGCACGATTATATTAATAAAAATCTTCGATCAGCGACGCTTTGAACTGTAACGATGAAAAAAGCTTCACGTAGAATATTATGCAATTAACAAAGCCGTTTCACATCATAAAGAAATTTCAACACTATGAAAATACGGTCTGAAACAATTGCATTCATTATGTGTTAACAATCCCAACTGTTATATGAAAGATATAGATTCCACATTTAACTTTGATATTAAAGAGTCTGAACCTTTCGTTAAGATAAGAAAAATACTAAACAGTGAAGTTATTGGGTAATTTTGACCTCTGACTTGGAATCAGTATAGGTCATCACCATTGTAAACATTACCAAGCCTCTGTCTGATAAACTAACTCTCGTGCTTAAGACAGCCTTACATTTTACGCTTCTCGAATTTCTATCACGCGTTTTTCCTTCTTAACGATTTGACGCCGTGGACGTGGAATAATTGGCAAAGCCGATATATACTAAGATTACCTCTCACAGAAACGCCTTTCAAAGAAAAACATTGTAAATGCAATCATTAAAAAACAGACATATTTTTATAAGAAAATCTGCAGAAGAGATTAAAGTTCGTTTTTAGTCTTATCGTGTAATATTGAAATGACCCCACGCCATCGTTTGTAAATCAGAAAACAGAATTCTTTCTGTCACAAGGAAATTGAGAATCTGTGAGAAATCAAAAGAAAATGAAGTTTTGAAGAGAAAACGGATTGAAATAAAATCTATATGTGTCGGCTCTGAGTGATTAAAATAAATGTTTATTATGTAAGCGATAATTTTGTTATTGTCTGATAAAACTCTGATGCAATCATAATGCCAATTTCTATAATAACTAGGTTCATTATAATCGACTTATTGATGTTTAAACAAAGACTTTAAAGAAAATATGCACGTTTCTTAGTTTTCTTCGATTTCAAATCAGAAAAAAAGAGGTCGTAATAATCTTCGGGTGATGTAGAAACAAAACAAAAGGGTAATTCCAATCATATTTACTTGTGTTTATTATTCAGTCAATGCAACAATTTTGTGTATCATTTTTAAAGATTGATTCGACTCACTGCTGTAAATGCGAAATTTCTCACGGAAAACTATCAGAGGGACTACCTTCAACGTTATGTATCGTGGGCTTTCAGAAAGGAAAATGGGAGCCTTGCTGTCTCAGTGCGTCAAAACGCTTGCTCGCTAACCTGAATGTCCAGGGTTCAATCCCGACATAGGTTGAGACAATACCTTTGGATATTTTTACCTGGTTTCTCCCTCAAAGTGATGAAGGTAAGAGGGCCTGACATGGAAAAAATAACCAGTCGTTCGAATTGGACAATAAACCTGGGCCCCATATGCTACTGGCTGTGCACGTTAAAGTTCCCTCGATAGTTGGAAAAAGAGCAGGCTTATGCTGCTGTCCTTGCAAAATTTCCACTCATTGCCCGTCTTCACAAGGCACGATATACACAGATAGATTTAAGTTTGATGGCTTTGTTTTGATGTTGGTATTGATGTAAACCATCAACATGAAGCCTATTAAATTTGATAAATGTACTATTGTAGCAATCATAAATTATATATAGTAACTACTCTTCCGCTACGTTTAGGTCTATTCGAGTATGAATGCAAGGATTGTGCTGGCTTTTACCGTGCTATACACGATATAATACATTATACTGTTTATTACATATCATAGTTACCAAATATATTGGTTATTGGTCATTAGTTGTTAACATTACCAGAAACAGTTTGACACTCATCTTGTCACCAAATGATTTACAGAGAAACAGAGAACACTGCAGCACGTCAACTTACGATTAGCTTGAAGAACTATATTTAAAACAGCAGTTGAATCTGCACAGCGTTAATTGCGACACAAAACCTCTCTTTGAACAACACTTAATAAAAACTCCTTATGACACAATTTCGAATGCCATAATGCAACCATAAGCAAAGTCGAATGTACCTGGCCAAGGAGGGTGAACTGATGAAAAGGTGATCAAAGGACACATGGAAATTGATTGTAGCCCGGAGAGCGCACTTGCGGATCACCTATATAATTATTATAATTCATAATTCTCATAATTCTTCACCTTACACCGTACACCGACACAGAGTAATAGGGGTGTCCGTATTTGTGATAAAAAATGTTTCTAAAAAAGCTTTCACCATAAGTCGAAAACTTTTTCATGGAATGAAACCAAATAGTAAATTTGTAAATTATTAAAAGCAATAATAAAGTTGATATAGATTCATTGTTAAAATCAAGTGTTGTTGAAAGGTTAAGAGAAGATGAGACCTGGAAAGCATTATATATTAATTAATTACATTCAAATCTAATAAGATGGTAATTTCATATTAAGTTTAAGTTATTTAGTTAAAGGACCGATATGTAGGAACTTGATAGTAGGCAATGGTAAATCTTATCTTCAGTAAATCGACATATTGATAGCATCATCGACGATAACGAAAGTATAAAAGTATGTGTATTCACATAATTACTCTTCAAAGTATCAAGACAAAACATAATTTCACATAAAAACGATATCTACTCTGCACGATATTGGTCTGAGTATTGGTAACTTACTAAAACATGTTAAGAATGTTCCCTTTGAACACTAACCGTCTTCAAATCAGAGCATATAAATTAGACGTGATTTTATCGTAAGTAGGGTAATACGATTTTTAATTTAGGTTTTGGAGAGTGAAGTATATATGGGTCAAATATGTGTGCTAGTAACATTTCCTGAGATATAAAAATAGTGCTATAATGGACTACATTGATAATTCGAATTTCTCAGTATGTTTTCTACTGTCTCATATCAAACAATTTCCCCATAATTTTTTTTTTTATAGCGCGAGCACATTTGTTGTAACCTATTACCCATCTTAATCTCAAACACCTGAAAAGAAACTGATTTGTATGGTGTATATTCGGTGGTCAATGCCCGCCTGAATTTATTAACCGTTCAATTGCAATTCTGTTTTAAAGTTGCTTGAATCACTTGATAGATTATAACCTAATGTAGACGGTGAAATATATCATATATGATTATATAATTTGTATATGTGAATCTTCTGTGAACGGTTCAATACATTAAATATGCTGCTCTTATATATGGTTTGACTTGCTCCCGCATGTTCACAAATATCTCTATTTGAAGTAAAAGAGATGACGAATTTATTGTGTGCATTAGAAAAACATTAATTATTGTGATAAACAAAATAGACAGTTTTTCTGACCTCAAAGAAATCACTTCTTACCATTGGGCTTTTAACTGTTATCTATTAAACACTATCAACTGTGTTTAATCAGAAACTAATAAAGGAAGAAGGAGGCTGTAACCTACCTTGGTCTATGACACCCTGTTTATTACATTTGTACTCTCCAAATGTCAATTAATTCAATAGTGATCGACTCTCCGTGCGTAGGTGATGTCAGTATAGATTTAATTTTGTCCAACAGGGATACCCTGCGGACAACCGTTATTCTATCGCTGATTATATTGTTCTGAAACTATTGACTTAATGGAGTACTCGCCTTGTCTTTTCCGATTTACATCTCCAGTAAGCTGGTTTTATGTCGACAGAAATTCACAGTTTCCATAAGTTGCTCGTATTTGTCATCCCAGAACTAAATGGATGTACCTTAGCGGTCAATTTATCGATATGAGGGTACAAAACTGAGTAATCAGCACACTTTCAGGTATTAACCCTACATTAATTACCGATGAATATTTTTTTGAATAATTACTTTTTTCGTAACAATCTGGTTTAAGGTCAAATAGTTTTTGTTGGAAGTGATGAGCCGCTCTCGTTGCAGTTCTAAGTTATTCATATTTACAATGCGTCTTTTATTGCAATTTGCATAGGCCTACTACTAGAATATTGTTTGTGCTTGGTGTGATTGTTTGCGATTTTTAGTCGGACTCTTTTTCTCCTTATGCCGACTACGAGCAGATATATAGTCGACCTTGGCCTACCTTTTCTAAACATCTAATGTACAATCATAGGATAGATATGTCCTCAAATTGGAAGCTAATTATCGGTTGGAAATGGCTACGTTGTTCAAAATTAATAGCAAGGATCGGTATCTTCCCAATAACAACGCTGTCGGAATTTTACATTTCCTTTGTTTTCCTATGGCAGTATTATTAGTTCATGTAACCACTTAAGATACATATTCAAATAAATATGTGAAGTTATATCACAGTTTTTCCCCAACGGCTAAAATATTTTCTTGCATATTAAAGTTTCACTTGTAAATTTACGTGAATGTAGAAACTTTATTACAAAAAGCAATTGTTTGTAACAGTCAAGTGGGTGAATCTGTGGTATTACAAGATAAGAAAAAAATACTTCACTAAAATAGTAAGAATAATATTTATCTAAGATTGAAATTTCTAAAACACGAAATTGAAGGATATTCGGATTTAAAATTTCACTTTTTTCGGAACTCTTTATGCATTTGAAGTGCATTAAATTTTGCAGAACATTCCTAATTGTCATTTGATAGTCAAAGAAGGATAACAGGTCTGGTCTTTTATTTAAAATTTTACTTTAATTATTAAAAGAAACAAAAGCTGGTAAGTAATTCGCTTTT